CCTCAGTCTGTTTGAAGTGAAGTGGCGGCTGTAAGCCATTGTCCACAGCTCCGCTGGATGTTTGTGTGCATGTGCTTGTGATTTTCCACGGTGTGTTCGTGCAGCTCGTGGATGTGCTCACTGCTCTGCTGAAATTCTTCTCATCTCCAGCTTCTTTATGAGGTTTTTTATTGTGTGAATGTATATTTTTATTGATACTTATTGACACATAACGTGAATATGTCGCATGGAAAGACAGACTTGCTTATTAATTTGTGAGTCTGAATGATCCACCCTCAGTTGAGTGGACGCTTCCCACAGTGATCCACTCTGAGTGTGACACAGAGATGAGTCCTGTGAGCTGAAGCGTCCACGCGCTGAAGCGTCTGCGTTATGTTAGGACAACAAAGTTGGGTGGAGGTGGGTCTGTGGGCTGCATGGCTAACACCGTCCTGGCATCAATGCAGAACATGAAACCTCATTACAAGCTGATACACTGAAGCGGACACGTGCTGTTAGCAGCACCCAAGGACCTCGCTGGTCTCAGTGAAGCCAGACCTGGACCCAGACTCCACGTGGACTCTGATCAGCTGGTGATGTTGGGTGAAGCCCTGCTAGGACTTTGACCACAATCTGCTATTAATGTGCTCGATCAATCATTTTAATCCCCTCTGTGAAGCCCACTCTGTGGTTTGACTTTGCAAATGAAGAATAACGTTTGTGTTCAGCCACCTTAAAGCCAACCACAGAAGGGAGATGCCGAAGAAGTCAGGAGACGAGGCTGAGTGTTTAGATTCTGTTCCACTGTCACACCAGCTGCAAGCCACGAGATTAAAACCATTAAAACATTTCAAACATGTCCTGTAGTCGTGTATTTGTGTCACATAACTCTGCTGGCTGATCCCAGACGGCTTCACGACTGTTTATGTGCCACGAACTGTCTTCTGTGTTTGCTTCAGGCAATGCTGGATGTAGCTGCCAACGAAGGCTGGCTCGTCACAGCCATCAGCATCTGCAATCTCGTGCAAATGATCGTCCAGGGCCGCTGGCTGCACGACTCCTCCTTACTGACGCTCCCACACGTCGAACAGCGACACCTCGGTCTGTTCAGGTAAATGGGAGCGCTCGTCGCTCTGCTCGCTGTGCAGCTTCTTCATCTAAAGTAAAAAAAGCCTTTAATCATCCTAATGTGTGACTGTGAGTAGAGTTTAGGATTCAGTGTTGCTTCACAGTTAGAAGCTGAGAGTGAAGATCAGGTCGAGTGATTTAGAGACAGAGTCAGAGACGCCAGGTTTGGACCTGTGCAGGGACGGGGTAGTGGACATATAGGATGTTGAAGGCGGAGCTTCCAGGCAGGAGGAAAAGAGGAAGAGCACAGAGAAGCTCCGTGGACGTGGTGAAGGAGGATGCTGGGGATAGGGCGAGGCGGAGGGGGGTGATGTACCTGTAGCCTGAAGCTGTTCCCACCTTCAGGTGTAAATCTCAGTAACACTGTGCAGTCACTCAGGTACAAACACGAAGCCTGGATTTTAATGGTAAGAGCCAACCTTGTCTCTGATGACTCCTGTTTTAGGAACAGGGGAAACAGGAAGGGGCAGGGAGGTTTGGACGAGCCAATCGAAGGACTTCCTGAGCTGATCGCTGCCTGTAATGGAAAAGAAAGCGTCTTCTCTGCTATGGTGGCCCGAGAGCTTCATCCGAGTCAGGCTGCTCAGGTAAGGCTGCAGAAATGATTCATGTGCAAATATGAAAGCAGCCGGTCTGCTGCAGGAACAATGGAGCGATGTAAGCATGGCTCCGCCCCGTGTGGTCCACGCACATCACACACAGCAGTGTCACAGCGACGCGCCAAGATCCCCAATTACAGCTCCAATGTAAGTGCTAATTGCAGCAGTAATGAGAGTGTCCGGGCACGGCAGCAGGCCCTGCAGCTTCACCCAATCGCTGCCTCTGCTGCCCCCACCCTCACGTTTACCCCAGCTCCCCGCCGGCCTGCAGTGTGGCGGCCTCTCTAATTAAATAATTAGATGTGCAGCAGCGTTCCTGTCTGACTGTCTCAGGAAGAGTAATCCTCACACAAATAGCTTTTCCCCTCCGTGCCCCCCCCACTCAGACGGCCGCACACCCTCCTAGCTCTGCTTTTGTCTTCATCCCTCTGTCTGTGTTTGTCCTCTGCCTCCCTCGCGGCAGCTTCTTTGGGTTGAAGCAGCTAACGAGGCCCGCCGCAGCCTCGGCGTCACAAGTCGCCATTTTATTTCTAAGCTTCACTTTCACACGTCTGCAGCTTTAACTGGACTCATGCTGCAAACAACAGAGGTGATTTCCTGTCCACTAAAACATATATGAGTGTATATAACATCCAATCATTTCCACTGCTGGCTAACATGTGACTCCACTGTGCAGCCTGTCAAGCTTCTTCTCACCAGCTCTTCAAACGAGGTTCAAACACAGCTGTGTCACAATGAGTGTGTGTGATCGTGTGTGTGATCGTGTGTGTGATCGTGTGTGTGATCGTGTGTCTGTTAGCTCTGGTAAAGTGCTGCAGATTCATAATGCCCTGTGTGTTACACAAACAGCTTGTGTTCATAGTTTCCAACCTTCCTCAGGCGTGGGCGTTCCTGAGCCATCTCCCAGTGCTGGAAGTTGAGATGAGCATGAAGGGCTGGTGGGAGGAGAGCCAGGAGCAGACCGAGCGTCCCATCCCTGCAGCAGGAGCTAACCTCAGGAAGGAGAGCAGCTGGCTGGACGTCCACGCTGACCAGGAGTATGTTCTGCAGGTGTCACTGAGACGCCTCAATCTGGGACAGCAGAGGGTCAGTATCCACATCTCTAACAGGCAGCTGCTCCCAGTTTGAACAGTTAGCAGCTGAGCAGGAGCTGAGCCCAGAGGCTGCTGGGACGAGCTGTGCTTTGTCTAATAGTTCGTGTAGTGCTCATTACAAACCTGCAGAGAGCAGCAAACTCGGCCTGCACAGAGCGATGACAGTCTGACTTTCAACAGTCACATATTGAACGTGTAGCTCGTGAGTAATGAAGGGAAATGCATGTTGTCAGCCTCACCTGTCATCATGCTCACACCTCAGACGTTACACCGGGGCTGGGCGCACCCTCCGTCGAGGTTAGGAGACGTTAGGAGACGTTAGGAGAAACTCAAAGTTTCCTCTCCAAGCTCTGACACCAGAAACGTCGTCTCAGCGTATTCTAGAGGTTAATTCCACAAAACACAAGAACAATATAAAATCCAGTCATGATCCAGTTATAAGATGACTTTACCTGGTACACTAAACCAGACCACACAGTGACTCTGCCTCCACACAGTCCAGGAAGTGAAGCATAGAGTCTGATTGGATGCTTTATAAATCAAACTGAATTAAACTGGTGGTGCATGCTAGAAGTGAGGTCATGCAGTGTTTCCTAACTGCCACGTTAAGGCAGCCCTGTTTTAATAATAGCATCTGCCCCCCCAACATGAGAAACTCCCCAAACTTCAGATTTGCACAGATTCTGCTGTGAATGTCACGATGTGTGTTGTTCCAGAGGAGGCAGGACAGCAAGGCCCAAGCTCCCAGGTTCCCCAAGGCCAAGGATGAGGGCTGGTTCCTGGTCCTGGGGGAGGTGGATCGCAGGGAGCTGCTGGCTGTGAAACGGGTGGGATACGTGCGTAACCACACGGCCGTGTCCATGGCCTTCTACACCCCAGAGAGGACCGGAAAGTAAGTCTGATCTCCCACACACTGAACGCACTGGTCTGTAGGCACAACATGAAATACTGTGACATTTTATGTAGCACGTTACGACTGCAGGCTGTTACGACATGACTGCAGGCTGTTACGACATGACTGCAGGCTGTTACACGTCCCTGCAGGCTGTCGATGCGATGCAGCAGTCATGCCGATCAGTCCTCGGGCGCAGCGTGGACTGTGGAGGGATTAGTGGTGGTAAAATGGAAATGACACTGTTGAGTCCAGCAGCTCACTGCTGATCGGCTCCTCTGTGCCAGATCACTGGCCTGCGCAGTGTCACAGTTTCTACTCATTATCTTTTTAAAAGTTTAGTAGAAGCAAAGAAATGAATCAGTTTCCACTCTGTCGCTGTCACATGTGATTTTCAGGCCTGTTTTTTCTCCTCTCAGGTGTATTTACACGCTGTACCTGATCAGTGACAGCTACCTGGGTCTGGACCAGCAGTATGATGTTCACCTGAATGTAACACCTGCCAGCATCGCTGCACAGGTCAACAGCGAGGTCTCACATTCGGTGTCGGATCTGTCCCTGGGCTAAGGAGCAGAAGTACCTCGGTGTCACGTCGGCGGCGTCTGTCAGTCGACCTTGGAAGTGACGTCGTTTCTTTCTCACGTCCTGTGGCTGTGCTCACCATGGTGCACCGGTGCCAAGGACGGCCTCATTCTCATTCATTTAACTTTTAATTGGCAACATCCAACAAGAGTCTGCTGCTGTTCTTGATTGGCTGGATCTTTGTGTGTGGTGTCAGATATATAAGCATGGTGCACACGTTCTAACAGCAGCTGTTCTGTGTAGCTGTGGCGCTCTTTTGCCTGAATTGTAGAGAACATTGTACAGATGATACCAAAGCACATCACCGAACACAAACAGGTTCCTGTCGTGTTTGGGAGGTCGTGAGCTGACAGTAACACAAAGCTGTGTTAATGTGAGCATGCTGTAGAGCTTCAGCTCAACAACAGGATAATACGTTTGAATAAAGTGTTTTGTGTGGCTTTAAATTGTAATTGTACGTTTTTCATTTCATTCACTTGTTTATTTGGAGTTTTTTTGTTCTCAGTGATGGTTTACAGCTCAGTCATGTCTGATGTGCTGTAAACACCATGTTTATACTGTGTAAAAGTGTATTTAGATTCAGTCAATGACACCACAGTTAGGAAAACATGAACTGACCTTGTGCTGGAATAAAACATGGAGGCTGCAGCAGCGTCGAGCCAACCAGCCCATGAGTGAAG